TCATAAACGATACATTTCACAACAGCGTACCCGCACAAAATACGTACAGTAAATACTCTATACCTACGTACAATACTCGTAGAATATTCTAAATACTACTATACAATGGCCTGCATTGTGATGCATTTTGCAGATTGAGATCGTAGAAAGGTTACTATGACTATTTCAAAGATATCGACATCATCACCAGTTATAAATGTTACACGAAATGCCCAATTAATATAATTTTGCATCAGTAATTGTTAACTCCATCTCCGTTTCCGATCCGCATAGATAAGCTGTGTAATACCAAAATTTTAGTCGTCTGACATTACCATTCTCAGTGACATTCCTTAATGTTAGGGGTGTGAAAAGCGCAGTTTTGTATCACGTCATTAATTAGGGTCTAATCCGAAATAATGAAGTTTGTTCAAAAGATTTATTTATAGTAAATCCATGTTAAAACAAATTGTGACCTTAAATCAATAAAGTTAGAATAGGTTCGCAAGATGTCAACAGTAATGGATAAAGCTAGGGCTGTATCATTGACGAAAATTTCTCACAGCAGGATTGTAAACAACTTGTCAACAGCAATGTTCTTTGTAACCATTGTCATTAAGTTCACACTTAAACGCATCGATAATTATGGACTATAAACTGAGAACTTTGATAGTTGTCCGAATGCAGCAACGATTTGTCCAAACACATTTAAACTTGATTAAATGTCTATTCGAATGCTTCACAAGATTCAAGTCTATTTTGTACTTTGATACAGCTCCTCTGGTGTGTCGACACACTACCATATCGCTGATCTTTGATAGGTGGTTGCCGAAATGAATCACTTGCATACAATGTACTTAAAAATTAACGGTTTGATTTAATATGTTTCACCAACTTTTCATAATCTACCCTTTCTTGTTGGCGATGTCCTGTAGGTGACGTTGTGTCGACGTGTCGATGCATCGTCGGTGTTACGAAAAAATGGCTATTTGACATTTACGCTAAACTTTATTGTTTCAAACAGAAAGTTTGCGCATGCGTGTTATCAGCATTTCATGTTGGATGGAATTTGATTTTTTAAGCCACCGAACGTAGCACTAACAATCGCTTCAATTGTTGAGGCCGAAATAAAATGTTGAATTTCTGGTTGGATTTTAACCCTTTTGGCTTTTTCAACTCAAAATGGTTTTGGCAGAGAATTCAGATCTTTAGTCGTATCGAACGAACGAATATTGAACAAGTTTTAAAGATAACGAAATTTAGCAATTCAAAAAGTCTGAAGAATTAGCGAATAATGGATACGATAATCCTCTTGATAAGTCAATCCCGAATTTCATAATAATATGTCAAACCCCCAGAATTAGCATTCACTTTAAGGATAACAATCTACAATGTCATATCTTTTGTAACGTGCAAGCTATCCGTATAATAATGCGAATGTCGAGCCGAGAGCGAATAGTAGTTGTTGCTTCGGTTTTAGCTTGTTTCGAACGATGCTTTGCACTTTACTAATATGGTTAAACTATCATTTATCTGTTACTTTCACACTAAACGGGCTTTATTTCTGTTTCAGAGATTCCAGTTCAATTCAATTACCAGGGAATCTGAATTAATCCCTGATTTATTTAGAGTTCTAAGAGCCGCTCTTAAAACGGATGTCTGCTAGCGAAATTACTAATTTGTTTGTAGAACTAAATATACATGCATCTAATATGAATTGATTTGCGTAGTCGCATACTCAGTCAACTAGAAAGACCTTGCTCCTGATAAAGAACGAGCTCACTTGTTTGGTTCGAGGTCACCATTGATGCCGGCTACTTGAAATTGCATATTAATATATAGCTCACCAAATTATTATTAGTTGTGCATCGTATCAAATATTTTTCGCACATAGACGGTTTCTACAAACTTGGCTAGCGATACTCATTATTAAACACGCACGCATTATAATGGAAATGGTGAACTACACAAGTGTATTTAATTTCTTACGTTATTACAACTTTAAGCCTACTCGCACTTAGTCTCTAAGTCAGCGGCTTATCCTTGGCCGGGCTGACTACGCTCCAAGCTCTACCAACTAACCATTGCACGCTATCCAAGACTCTCGGAGGTAAAGAACTTATTGCTAATTCTGGCAAAAACTGATGGTATGGCCAAGTAATAACGAAGTTATCCTCGAACAAATTCCATCTTATAATTTTTGCCATATTCTCAGGAGACGCGGCCAACCAAGAGGAAAAAGGGAATGGTCTCCGTTCATCAAGGGTCATTCGGGTACCAATGAGGCCGGGGGCGATGACATTGACATGGATATTGTAATTACGACCGATGTAGCGTAGGTCACGCCCCAAAGACGTTAGGGCAGTTTTTGTGGCATTATAATAGCACATCTGTGGTGGCGCGTGCCAGGCAACTATCGATGAAGTGACTAGTAGGCAAACCATCCACGCGAACAAGATGTGTGAGGGCAGAGGATATACGTGTGAATATCTGATACGCGTTTTAAACGTCTTTGGTGCAAACCACACAATCATTACATACTTGCAATCTGTCCTCCTACATGAGGTCGTTCCTTCATTTGTTTGAATATTGTCATGACCGTATTAACGGCGCCTTTAAAGTTGACATCAATGATGTTTTGCCAAGAGTCCTCCCATTCATTACCGTCACTCACCATGCCTGCTTGTCCAGACATAAATAAATATCCCGTTGACAACGACCGATTACTATTCAAAAGCACTTTTCTATCTTACCCGCATTAGCAATTAGCAAGTCAATTGGATTGCTCTCATCGAATTCAATGAGAGCCTCGGCCAGTTCTTCCTTATTAGCGATATCACAACTTATTGTTGTTACAGTTGCTCCTTTCTCCCTACATTTTTCCGCAGTCTGTTCGAGGCGTTCTATTGATAATGACACGCTTTATCAGATAAACTTCACAGCATTATAACTTATTCCTTCTGTCCCGTACTTACCCTCTGCGAGACACAACATAATCACAGGATATTATGCATCGCTGTTAATATTACTTAGTTTATCCATATTTCATTCCTACGACTATACAAACCATCACGAGCCAAGAGTCCAAGCGTAACATCAGGCTTTGCGTATGCTTCAGCCAAACTTGCACCAATACCAGAACTATATTTAGGATAAAGTGAAGACTTGTGACATAATCCATTTATATGATGAACATCCCACAACAGCTATTTACTTTGCACCGGTGATCAATACAACGTTCGGTTCGCTGGAACATAATGATCTCAACACGTTAATAGGTGTTTCAATGAACATTCGAATGAAGGCCACGGGAATTGAAAGGAAAGTAGTCACAAGCCAAGCTGTGCACGCTTCAATCAATGGTTGCACATAGCCAGGAACGGTCACTGGAATAAAGTTAAGCATTTGTTGTTAAAGATGGGGAGAGTGAGCACAACGCAGTTTTCCTTATAGTTATATATACGTCTGTTCGATACGCACACTTGCACACATAAATATCCCGATTAGTCTTTAGTGATTGAATTCGTCAATGTCTTACTATATTGGCAATGTCAACAACGTGTAATAGTGTCGTAACTAAACGCGATGATTAAAGATTACACTTACTGATTTTGAATGATCGGCGCAAGAACCCAAGTTTTAACAAAACGCCACCATAACAACGATAAATTAGTTAGAGCGGAATTCAGTCAGTGACCGTTGAGAATGAGTTATGAAACAGAACACATACAAGAAAGCATGCCAACTACCTAATGGAGAGTTGCATTCGCAACATACAAATAGATGCAAAATCTAGAACGTTTGTCTAAGGAAAGCTATTCATTCATCGAATGCTTGCTCTTTTTATTTCAACGAAAAGACAGATATGCTGGTTTTGTAAAAGTATGTGTTACTCGTGCAATAAGATACTCTGGGTACACAAGCTTAATTTGTTGTCTACTCTACACCTTGCGTACCTGTTTGGTTGACCAGACAAGTGATAGGTATGACAATATTCACAACATCCCTAATACTAGACTAATATTACAGTCTTTAAATCATCCAAAGACTTTCAATTGGATTAAGGTCAGGATGAAGAACAATTGACAACTTCACAAAATTAATTGACAACACTGATCTCTCTTCTATATATAATAATATTACATTAGTATTTTTTAAGCCAAAACGACACATTTCTGTCTAATTTGGGGCATGCTGCAACAAAACCAGACAAAGTGAACATTCTATAAATGGGACATGCTGCAACAAAACCAGACAAATTGACTATGTGACATAAATGAGAGACTAATTATGATGTGATTGTAAAATAATCAGTGTGACTGATGACGTTTGAAAAGCAGGCAAATGAAAAATTGCTAGTTGCTTTTGGTCACAGTAATAATGGTGCTCATGGACTGGTTAATTTTAATGCTCACTTTATCATACCAGAATGTGATGAATATAAACCATAACATGATTAATATATACAGTATGGGAAGAAAAAACTTGCCCTCTATATACGCGTAACAAAATCTCGCGTAGCTTGCCAAATTTAACAGACGTCGCGTAAACAAAAAATTTATTATAAATATCACCTCCTAGCACACTGTTTATCATATTTCGCCTTGAATTGTTTGTTATTAAATTTCTCCATAAATCATTCTTAAAATGCCTTCACAAAATAAAAAACCTCATGCCGAAATTATCTTACATTTCTGGAACGAGGGAGCACAATCTCCCAAAGAAATTCATAAAATCACAAACATCCCACTCCGAACTGTCAAATATTACATTAAAAAAATTAAAGAAAACTAACAGCATTGCACGTAAGAAAGGAAGTGGCCGCCCCAAAAAGATTAATGGAAATACATCTGTTTCTATTGGTCAATACGTAAGATGGGACCCCACTATATCGTCTCGGAAATTGGAAGCAAAATTAGCAGAAAAAGGGTTTAGTGTGTCCTATAGAACCATTTCAAAGCATCTGGGTAGCTTGGGTTATAAAAATAATGTGCCATTACCTACTCCCATGCTTACCAAGTCACGCAAGGAAAAACGGGTAGAATGGGCCTATTACTATGCTCATCTCAATGACAATTGGAATACAACCCTTTTTTCTGATGAAACGGCTTTCCAGTTATTCAGAAACACCATTACACAATGGTATAAAGGCTTACGGCCAATTAAACCCATTCCAAAAAACCGTGTAAAAATTTTTGCCTGGGGTGGGTTTTGTATGCAAGGAAAGACAAGTCTTTTTTGCTTTCGGCAAATAATGACTGGACCATATTATGTCGAAATCCTTCAGCAACACTTACCAGAGATTCAACAAATGCTGGGACATGTCTGGCGCTTTCAGCAAGACAATGATCCTAAGCACACTAGCCGTGTTGCTTCAGCATTTCTTCGAGAAAACATGCCTGAGGTCATTGACTGGCCGTCCAATAGTCCAGACCTCAACCCCATAGAAAACCTATGGAGTATTGTTAAGAGAAACGTAGAAAAACGGCAACCAAAAATCTTGATGACTTGGAGCGGTTTATGGTTGAGGAGTGGGATAATATTCCAGAAACTATTATAAAAAATTTAATAGGTTCAATGAAAAGACGTTGTGAAGCAATTATTGAACAAGGTGGTGAACGAATTAATTTTTAATTTTTTTTTAATAAAATTGGCAAGTTTCGCAGATTTAAATGAGCTATTAATGAAATAATTTGCATTGATGGTTGCTGAGTTATTACAAAATTATGAAGGGCAAGTTTTTTCTTCCCATACTGTATATAGGATTCTTCTTATATAAAAATATAATATGAAACTAATTTACATCAAATCAACCATGGAACCCAAGAATTACAGCACCATTAGAAGCATTCTAAAAAAAGCTCAAGGAGAAAAAATTGCTCTGTATATTTTTAAAATCGATAATACCCAAACTCTCCAGGAATATCTAGATAAAGAAAAAATTACTTATGAAATTTATCAAGAAGAACATAAAATAAAAGTCAATAAGTGAACATTAACACCAGCACATGATAATGATAAACCAAGAAAAAAACGAAAATTAGAAGAAACAAATTTAATCTAAAAGCTTCCCACCAATGTCTCCATTGATGGAGTGACCTGATAAAAGATCATTCCTTATGATAAAGGCTGCTCAACCATATTTAATATGATCAAAATTGGTTTCTGATGAGACCAGAACATAGCCAGACACACTTTACATATCAGATCCTGTGAAGTTTGATGGAACACAACTGACTGTCCTGCAATCTTATTTTTATATTCAACAACTTGCATGTAACAACCCAAGTTCACCTTCCTGGGAACCACAGCAGCCACCACCACCATCATCATCATGACAGGGTAATAATAACAGATCTCAATGTCGTTCCAGATGAACTCACACTTCAAAAGCTGATGATAAAGAAGTGAAGTAACAGAAATGCAGCTTTCACATTCAGAGCTCAACCTCTCTGAACGTATCGGCCATGGCTGATCTGGATATGTTGCAAGAGGATATTACCAGGGAGAGGAAGTGGTGTGGAAAATCTGTAATGTATTAAAATACCCAAACCTTTGAAAAGAACTTAAAAATGAGGTGGAAGTATATAAGGCACTACGAAATCTTCAAGGGATTATATTCCAGAACTCGTTACCTATGGAGAGGTTTTGGGGGGATGTTTTATGTCATTGGAATAAAGCCTCATGGTCACAGCATGAGAGAATTAGACAAATTATCAATGCAACAGAAGAAACAGGCTGCGAAAGCCTTAATATTAAAGCAAATGCATAGGATGGGATATTTGCATAATGACATTAGACAGGAAAATATTCTGATAGATGGATCTGATGTTTTTCTTATTTATTTTGGATGTCCAGAGATTCCAAAGCTAAACATCAAGAACTCTTACAGCTGCAGTGGCTTTTGGATCACAATGATTTAGAATTTAACTTTCCATCTTCAGCAATTACTCACATGAGCACAAGTTAGTTAAATAATAATAAGCATCTTGCATCATCAGAAAATTAGCAGAAGGCATTAGAAGAAAGTCAAACATCACCAATTGCAAGCTATAAGTAAATACCTTTGATAGATAGTTCTAAACATATTTTGTCTTAAATTAATCACATGATCATAACGATTGATGAATCACAAATTCACTAATTAACACAAGTGAAAATAAAAATTGCATATGTCTATAATAAAGCCATATTAATATTAATATTGATAAAATATGGGCTTTGACCCCCATTTTAATTTAAAGATTGTCACCAAAAAACACAAATTTTTTATGAAGTTTTAAACATGGCTGCCTTATTCCAAAAACGATATGTAAATCATAATCTTTCCAACTTTATTTCATCTTGCTTTGCTTTTGCAAATTCAAAAAATAACGCATGAAGACTAGTGCTTTCAGAACTCTTATACTGATAAACAAAGCTTCGCAAATTATAGTTTATTAAAAGCAATTGATTTT